TGGGATTGTGAGTGAGCAAATTTACTGAATCTGCTATATTGTGTGCTGGCAGAGCTTCTGTAGGGTGGCCTGGTGGACGATAAATCTGCCCGTGACTGTCACAGTGCAAACAAATGTGTGTGGCTGATAACTTGGCTACCTAGGCATAGAATCCTTTCCCAGCACTGTAGGACAAGAATCTGGCTCATAATTTTAAAAAATCCATTTCCATGACTATGGTAAAGTTTTAAATAGGGCAGTTACATTGGGGCCTTCAATGAGATTCCCAGAATATGGACAAAAGACAAAGACTTGAGGGTGTAATCTCGGTTTCCTTGAGTACCAGTGCTGGGCAAAGATGCATCAACGCAGAATTGAGTTACTTTGTTCTTTGGAACTAATTTTTTTTTTTTTTTTTTTTTTTTTTTAAGGCAATTCGTATTTTGGTTCAGGAGCGCCTGACTCAGGATGCTGTAGCAAAGGCCAATCAGTCTAAGGAGGTATGTATATACAGTGCATGGGCTCATCATGTAACGAGGCTAGTCTCAGAATGGGAATCTCAAAATGGATGTTTGTAGTTGGAATCCAGGTGCACAACATTAAAACAACAGGTGAAACAACACTTGATAGAGCCATTGTGATTCTGAAAGATCCAAAGAAAAGTCACAGGTGCTAAGTAAGTGCAAGACTTCCTGTATGACACACATCTAAGTATATTTGTACATGATAATTGTTCGATTGTTTCTTAATGCAGTATCATCATAAGCCCCTAACATTATAGTAATATGTCATAGATCAGGGTATCAAACACACAATCTGCCCGCCAGTGCTGCCCCATTGAGCCACAGGTTACCCCACACTGCCTGGACTATGGTGCTTGCTGGGGACACGTGCAGAATCAGGCATGTGGGTGGGGGTCCGTGGACCTGATCTGGCCCATGGACCAGCCCTGTGCCAGTCATTGGGGCCACAGGGCCAGGCGAGTTTGACACCCCTGGAATAGATTTTCAATAATATTTTACTGAATACAAAAGTCCTAGGTTATTTTTTCTTCTAGGTAGCATTGTTTGCTGAATAAGCAAAGAGAGATCCAAGTTTTAGATAATAAAATATTTCCAACTTCTCAGCCAGCCTTTATGGGGAAAGAAGGATTGGAATCTAGGTGTGGGTTCCCTTCATCTGAAAAAGCACCAAGATAACGTTATAATTTCACAGTTAAGCCTCAGAAGTAAATGAGAAATATCTAAGATAGAAATATGGCTAGAAAGCCATTCTGTGAGGGTTAATGATGAATCCGTAGGACCATTTAGTATGTTTTTGAGGGGAGCATTCACAGGGAACAATTGAGGGATGTCAAATAATCATTTACTAAACATCCCAGCTCTTGGAACTTTTGCTCCATCACTGATGAAAGCAACTTGTACGTCTTTAAGATGAAACACTTTCCGGAAATGTCCCTCTAGAACAGAGACCTTTAGCCAGGCCCCTTCATCTCTTTTTTGACACCTACATCACAGCAGCATCTTTTGTATGTGATAGTGTGCTATAAGAAAGCATCTCTTGATGGTCACTAATCGGCAGTGACAAATGCCTCTTGGGGTACAACTTGTGCTGATTTACAAAGCAGTGGTACAGTAAACTAGGGCATTCTATTTTTATATAGGCCTTTTGAATAGCATTTGAAAACTGTTCAAAGAACAGGAAAATGTGGAAACAGCTGAGGCTGCTCCATCAGTGTCAGGTATAGAAACTTAAATGGGTAAAAATTAACCCCCAGGGAAGCATGTTGCTATTCTGTATCTGGGTGCAGCATTGGAGTTACAAAATTAAAAGTTGGGGGTTGTTTTTGCAGGGGGGAGGTTTCCCTGCCCCCTTTCTCTGTATGAGGATACAGGCAGTTCTTTGTTTGGGAGAGGCAGGGCTTTTTTTTTTTCTTTTTAGTGAGCAGGGGTTATTTGTTAATATTTTATGGCTCCCAAAAGAATGTCTGGCTCTTGGCAGGAGCTGTGGAACAAGATCATCGGTACAGCCTAAATTGTAGAAGTGATGAAGATAAAGGGAGACAGCGTGTGAATGTTTCATGACATCATTTTACATGCCTTAACTGAGTGTCTGATTGTACCTTGGTGGTTCTACAAACAAATTAGGGAAACTAGGTCAGCAGAATAAATGGATTATGTACCGAACTGCTGGATCTCCTGTGGGACAGATACTAGGGGAAAGAGAGCAAAGCTGGTAATCAGCATGATGCATCGTATAAATCAAGAGTGGCCAGCCTATGGCATGCGTGCCACAAGTGGCACTGGCAACCTGTGTGGTACATGGCAGATTGGGGAAAGGGCAAGCAGCACAGTGGTAGATAGGAGTAGAAAGCAGAGCAGCAGATATGGCAGAGACTCTAGGGAAGCAAGCAGAGTAGCAGATTGGGCAGGGCAGTTGGTGAGTGTGGGGCTGATTTATGACATGCCTGCCCAAAACAGTTGGTCCCACTGATAGGAATGATCACATCTTCTGTGGGGTGAATAACTGAACTGAGAGGCTAGCAAAGATGAAATTTTCCTATCGGAGTCAGATTCAGATTTAGCCTACGTTGGTAAAGACCAGAGTTTGCTATCTGAAGGGTCAGGTAGCCCCAGTAAAAGCAGTGGAGGGTCTTTGATCTGTACCTTGTGGACAAGACGACATACAGGTAGTCACAACGGACGTGCTCAGCAGCTTAGACATAACGGTGAAAGGCAGATTGAGCAAAGTTAAGAAATTAAACTCTTAGCAAGGGGGCCTCCAACTGAAGGCCGGACATGTTTGCGGGCTCGTGTGGGGAGACTTGGCTGCTCTGCCTTTGTCTGATCAAGTCTGAGGAGGGGGAAAGAAAAACGGAGAGAACTTCATTTGCTCGGGAAGCCGCATTTTTTTTTTTATGGTTTTTTGTTTGTTTTCACTGCTATAAAATTCACTTGAAATTACATATTCAAATAAACTGACACTGTAACTCTAGGCCAATATGTATTCAGAGTCTAGACTAGGATTCTGATTGTATCAACTGGAAAGAAACTTCCAGCAATGACTTTTTAGAATATGAATGTCTCCTGTGGTATGTGTATAGGAAAGCAAACTCCTCTACAAATATACCACGTTTCGCTGAGAGTTCTCAATCCGTATACAACACTTACGGGATTTTATCATCAGACTCATTCTTAAAGTCTTTACAGGAAGTGTTTATATTCATCCATTGAGTTCGCAGTATTGTGGTGTTTGGTCATTGGGTTAAGTTTTCATCCCTTTACAAGTCCTCTTGGTGCTGCCCCAATGACGCACAGAGAATTTGAAGTTGCCCAACAATGGCATTAAATTCTGCCAGCATAGGAGGACTGTCAGCTGGTGTAGCCATCCCTTCAAGGCTTTCCTGGTGTAGTGGAAGTAGCAGGGGGACAAAATACTGCATGCTTCCCTGGTCCCATGGACTGGAGTGGCTTATGAGACCCTTTATCTGCAGGTATGGGTTGGAGTAGCTTTGAGGCCACCTGATAGCTACCAGAGACCATTTCGGAAACATATGAGTAGAACTAGAAATACCATGCATATTTTTACTATCGTATTTTTTAGACTTTGCTGCGTTCCATATTGGGTGGGATTTTGAGTTCTTCAGGCCTGGCATCCTTTCCTCCAAAGTTACTTCAAAAAGCATAGAAATAATATGAGTTTGTTTGTCTTTTCCCAAGGGTTTGCCTGTTGCTTTGGAAAAACACATTCTTGGTTTTGACACAGGAGGTAAGAGCTGCTTTTAACTCTTATTTTAAACAATGGAGCCACCTTGGACTAAAATAGTCATTTCATCTGACCCAATGTGGACAGTTTTTAAAAGAAAAAATGTTGCTTCCAGAAGCTGGCAGGGGAAGGAAATGATTACATTTGGCTCTTTGCTTACAAGAGCTTGTTTACAAAAATTCTGCTGAGCGTGAGAGGGAAAAGTCTGGCAATGGAGGAGATTATCATCCTGGGATACAACTGACAAAGACATGCAGAGGATATCTGCTGCTTTAACGGTGGGACCAGTGTTTAGCTGCTGTTCATTTTGGTTTTCTCTTAAATCAGGATTAGTTGGTATGCACCACAGACTGGTGTGAGCTGATGGGTTGCTCTGAGTGACAGATGTCTCGAATCTAGTCCAGCCTGAGTGCTGGCATAGATGCATCTTGTTTTTATAGCTAAACCACCACTTGAAATGAATGGAATCAATGCTTGTGTCTGCTCAGCCTTGGCCAGATTCAGAAGCAGAATATCACAAGAGTGCTATAAAGCCACATTAGGTCTTGCACAGAACATGCCTTGACCAGGCCAGATAATCAGGCCCACTGTTCCTAAAGAATTTAGGGCAAGCATAGAAAACTGTGGCTTACTATTTGACTGAATCGCATCCAAAGGTTTTGAAGTGGAAAATAGTTGTTCTGTGTTAATACCGTTTCTCTTTGTGCAAATCAATCAGATGCTGTCATTAATGAAGCTGCCCAGATTCTTCGATTGCTGCATATAGAAGAACTCCGAGAGCTGCAGACGAAAATTAACGAAGCCATAGTAGCAGTTCAGGCAATTATTGCTGATCCGAAGACAGACCACAGACTGGGGAAAGTTGGAAGATGAACAAAATTAAGACTTTTAAGTCTCTTGCATACCTAGTACAATTAGGAATTATATACACCTCTGGCATGCATTTTGAAATGGATATTGTTTCATTGTTTTGAAAGAAACCCAGGAAGAAAGTGAAGTCTTACTATTCCAGTGAATTACCTTTTTCTTTAAATAAATGAAGTGGGGGAAACAGCTAAAAATTGTTCTGTTTAGCTATAAGTTGAGAAGTATAATAGTTTTGCTCTTTGTCCTTGGTTTTGTGTCTTAAAAGGAAGTTTGTTATATAAGGATTTTTAGATTCTTTTGTGGTTGTATTCCTGCATTGTGAAATACTAGTCCTGGTACCATAACTACTCGTCATACAAGAGAAACTTCTGAAACACTAGAGCCAAAACAAAATTTAAAACAACAATTTTATTATTTGAGTAATCTAGAAAAAGTGAGAGTTACATCTGAACAGGTATTTATGTACACATCTCGCCCTATAACAGGTAGCACAGTGAAGGCACTTCTTAAAAGACCATCAAACATGAATGATTAAATCTAGCACATTCTTCTAATATAAATACTAAAAGACATGCATTGAGGCAGAGGCAAAAGGAGTCTAGAATTGTGCTTTGGAAAAAATGTAGTGTACTTTCCATGTCCCATGATGGTTCTGCACACTTCCTGCAGTCATGCAATCTTTGTCTCTTCTGGGTTATTGACAGTGACCCAGTAAGACACCGCATTGAAAGCTTTCTATCCACACTTCATTTTTTGGCTATAAAGGACCTATAGGTCAGATTGTCAAACTGTGCTTAAAAATGATTTGAGTTTTATTTCATCCAAATGAGAGAACACTGGAATAAGATACATTAAGACTTTTTCTTTTTTTTAAAGTTGCTTCCATAAGCAAAATTAAAGTAATGGCCTAATATTCACAGGGCCATTTTTTTTTGTAGTATAGCAATGTTTTCATTTAAAAATACAGTAGTAAAGATTGAGGTATAACTTCAGAAAAATACTTGATGATGATCTTTTGCACTAAAGTAGATCACATCAGTGCCTATGGTAAGCATCGATGGCCTTTGTGGAAGGTTTCTTCTTCTTTGCTCCATGTGGTGTTAAGTCTTTGGGTCTGGCATTCTTCCTCCCAGTCTAAAGCCCAAACTTCCTTTTGTTGAAGTATCAGTAACTATTTCCTCGCTGCAGTGAGAGGAAACCAGATATGTATGTTTAGTGCACAAAAACAACAGCATATCCATTAGTATGACATAAGCAGGGCAGACTTTACCTCCTGAGCAATAGGGATACACTGCAGTTATTCCATAGAGATGGGACCGTTGCTCTGGAAGGTATTCCTCAGTAAGGGAGCCAGTATCCTTATTCACAGCTATAACACCATCCCTGGGGAGAAAAAAAAAACCCCAAACCTTTCCTTGCTCCTCAATCCTTCTCTAGAAAGAGTTAACCTGTTGTTAAAGAAGGAATCGCTGTGCTTCAGTCAGACCACCTCCGTACAACATGCCCAGATATCTCACTTAGTAAACTTTGAATCGAGTCCATTCATTGTGCTAGAGCTATCATCTTCATTTGGTGCTGAATCACTTGAGTGTGAGTGTTTGCACAGTTCAATGAAACACCATTCTGTGCTACCGCCTCAGCCAACAACAGTGTAAACGTGTTAGCAAGACCTGAAAGTACACAACCTTGGCATCCTGGTGCAGAGAGCACTTTCCCCCCCCCCCCCCC